GTTAGCTATTATGGCTAAGTGTTAAGAAAGAGGCAAATTAATCAAAGAGACCGTGGTCTAGCGCAGGAGTTTGCCAATTTTTTCTATGAAGGGCCACATGGCAAATATTTTGGCTTTGCCAATTATAAGGTCACAGCTACTCAACTCTGCCCCTACAGCACTAAAGCAGCCACAGACAATTCACAACTGGATGAGCTTTATTTATGAACATTGATAGTTGAGTTTTATATCATCTTTATGTGTTACAAAATAATATTCTGCCCTGGCCAGTGTTGTTCAGTGGTTGGAGTCTCGGCCTTCACACAGAAGGGTCACAGGTTCTATTCCTGGTCAAGGGCATGTGCCTGGGTTGCAGGTTCCATCCCCACCCTGGTTGGGGCACATGCAGGAGGCAACCAATCAATATCTCTCTCTCACATCGATGTTTATCTCTCTCGCTCGCTCTCTTCCCTCACCCCTCCCTTCCATTCTCTGAAAATCAATAGCAAAAAATATCCTCGAGTGAGGATTAACAAAAAAAAATTTCATTTGAATGTTTTCTTCCATTTCAAAATGTAAAACCCAGTCTTAGTGTGCAAGCGCACAGAACCAGGTGGTCTGCCAGACTTGGTCAGCAGGCCGTACTGTGCTGATCCCTGATATAACGGGGAAGACATCAGCCCTTCTGGACTTCTCTGCTCTATCTGCATGTTCCGTTTACAGGTGCACAAACCGAGGTTCATCCTTTAAGTCCCGTTGAAACGTTGCCTCCTCTTTGAAGCCTGCCCAGATCACCTCAGCCAAGGAGGCACTATCTCCTATGTGATAAGCACTAATTTGTTCATTACTTTTTACATTTTATCATGAGGCTCGGGGCAGGTAGCTCACTTGAGTGGAGCATTGTCCTGGATATGCCAAGGTTGCTGGTTCGATCCCCAGTCAGGGCACTTATAAGAATCAACCAATGAATGCATAAATGAGTGGAACATCAAGTCAATGTTTCTCTCTCTTTCTCTTTCTCTTACCCTTTCTAAAAATCAATAAATATAATAAAAAAAATTTTATCATGAAATATTTAAGATTAAAAAATCTATACAGAATAATGCAGGGTGACCCTGGCCAGTGTGGTTCAGTTGGTTGGGCATCATCCTGTGCATCAAAAGGTTGCCAGTTCGATTCCCGGTCAGGGCACATGGAGGGGTTGCTGGTTCAATCCTTAGTAGGGGGTGTGCAGGAGGCAGCTGATTGATGGTTCTCTCTCACATCAGTGCTTCTCTCTCCCTCTCGTTTCGTCCCTTCCTCTCTCTCTCAAAATCAATAATAATAATAATAATAATAAAGAATGATAGAAGAGGGTAAAGGAGGGATAAATAGTGATGGAAGGAGACTTGACTTTAGGTGATGAACACACAGTACAATATACAGATGATGGCTTATAGGATTGTACACCTGAAGCCTATATAATTTTATTAACCAATGTCACTCCAATAAACTCAATTAAAAAAAAAGAATAATGCAAACACCTTAATCTTTGCCATCTGGCTCATGAAAGGAAGCCTTGCCCAAATAGCCGAAAGGCCCCGTACAGATATCCCTCCCAAAATCCCAACCTCCCTGCCTCCTCCCCAGAAGCAATAACCACTATCCTGACTTTGGGACTTTATTGCCCTGTACTTCTTAGTACTTTTGCTGCATATACATCTGTATCCATAAGCAGGAGCTAATATTTGTTTGCGTGAGTACTCTCATATTTAACTCAATCTTCCCATTATTTAAAAAGCATCTTCCTAATAATCCAATCCAGGAGTAGCTCTATTTGGAGATTAGCCTCAGAGCATGCCTTGCCCAAGGCATCCAGGTAAGTGGTGGTAGGCTTCAAAGGTGATGTTCCTAAAGCTTGCTCCCTCTATATCCTTCTGGCCACACAGTCATATTAGTTATCTGACTTCCGTTCCACACTAGACTTTAAAAAAGAGACTACATGTGATCTGTCACCCTTCCTATACAACCCCCAGTATTTTGTACCCAACAGAAGCATGATATGTATTTCTTCAGAGGCCCTTAGTAGTCTCAGTAGAGGATGGGGGACTGCCAGAAACTCAAGGGGAACAAGGGTGGGGCTTTACTAGATTTCGTTACAAGTTTGGGGCAATTTTTAATTGTTCACGTGTTAACTTTACTGGAAAGGATGAGGCATGCAACCCTCATGTTCCAAGAGGGTGTGAGTTGGGGGAAGGGAGGGAAAAGGGGAACCTAGAAAATCAGCCCCCAGAACCAAGAAATCCTCCCTTCCTCTCCTGCAGCCACAGGGGTAGAGCTAGGGCTTGGGATCTAATCCAAGCTGAAGGGCAGACAATGAGAAGTGGTGGGTATTACAGCCTGGACTCTCAGCATCTTGGTAAGACAGCATCCTGGCCAGTGTCCAGAGGATGTGTGTATGCACCACGGGGAGAGGACAAGATGACCCAGGGGGAGAATGTTAGAACTGCTGCCGCTGCTCATGGGCAAGAAGCCCACCTTCACTAATACTTATGCAAACTGAGTGTGCTTTCAGCATGGCAGGCCTCCACCAGGCGGTCCTGTTTACCATCCAGTTTAAACGAAACTCAAGAAATGAACAAGGGCCCTGGTCGGGTCGCTCGGTTGGTTGGAGCAGCATCCCGTAAGCCAAAAGGTGTACAGCAAAAGGTCACGGGGTTTGATTCCCGGTCAGGGCACATACCTGGGTTTCACATTTGTCCCAGGTCCGGGCATGTATGGGGGTCGGGGAGAGCAGCCAAGTGATGTTTCTCCATCTCCCACTCAGTATAAAATTAGTAAACATATCCTTGGGTAAGGATTAAAAAAAAAAAGTATATATAAATGAATAAGGGGCTTTCAGATTCCTGCAAAGAAACAATGTACTACAAATACTAATTATCTCAACCAGGGATAATGGAAGAAAATTGAACATCTCACTTATCTCTATACTAGTGTCCCAGTACACGAATTCGTGCACATTGAAAGGAAATTAATTAGAAAAAATATTTAATATCGCTATTCGCCCTTTCTCTATAATAGAAGTGTCAACCAAATTCACTATCAACAATGACAGATTGAAACGTACGCGTGATTGGTGCCAGCGAGAGCTTTATATGTATTGCGCATGCACGAGTCAACTTAGCCTTTTATATAGAGATATAAAAAGGCAGTGTCTGTGACGACCCAGACGACCAAATGACCAGTCACCATGAGGTGCATTGAGCACCTCTTGGTCCTTGCCCCTCGGCCCGCAGGCTCTGAGGGATCAGCAGTGGTGAACGGGGGAATCGGGGTGGGTGGCGGGAGGACTGGGCTGGCTGTCAGGCTGTTAGGATCACCAGCTCATCCCCGGCTGCTCGGGGGCTCAGGCCTGCAGGAAAGCGGGCACCGGTGACCTCACCTCCATGCGCGTGCGCCGGCCAGCCACTGATGGAACGCGCTGCCCGCTCAGGGCGCTCATGCCAGGGTGGGTAGGTCGCAACTTCTGTCAGCACCTCAAGCCCCAGCAGCAGCAGTGGGGGTGGCGGTGGTGGCACCTGCAAGTGACCCCGGGGATGAGCTGGTGATCCCAATGGCCTGACAGCCCGGCGGCAGAGGTGGCATTCAGCCTGGGGCTGGCAAATGGGCAGAAGATGGCCGATTGCAGGGGACTAGGCCAAGGGACCCTACCTGCACGATTTCGTGCACTGAGCCCCTAATTGTTTATAAACCTGTTGTCAAGCGCATTGGAGGGGAAAATCCTGTCTGCTTGTCAAAAAGCGCATTTCTCCTCACCCACCATTATTCATGACCAAGCCCCACACTGCATATGAAGGAAACTTGAGTCAGTAAACTAAAATTAGTTTTTTTAATAACTGTAATATGTAGTATGGGTTCGTGCTCAGTTTTACTAGTGGGGGACAGTAGGGCTGTTTGACAACTCAGCCCTGCTCACTAGAACCTTCTGCAATGATGGGAATGTCCTCCATTTCCTGGGCCCCTCGTCACAAGCAGCTATTTCATGAAATGTGGCTAGTGCAACTGGGAAACAATTATTCCCAGAAGTCCTGTTGAAGGAACCTGATTTAAGCTGAAATTCCTTTTCCTAGGTTAGATTTTGACACTTACCAAGTGGTTTAATAAAAGCGCATTAGCAAGTCTGCATAGATAACACTTAGAAGCCACAAGTTAAGATAAAAGGTTTTTATTCAAAAAACGCCAGGTATAAAAAAAAAAATAAGATTATCTTTTATTCCCCTGTACAGTATTTCACTCAGTAAAACCAGCAGGCTACGTGCTGCTCAAAACACAGCCCCAGAGAGGATCCGGAAGGCACACTGTCCAGAACTGGTTTTCAGCTATCTACCCTATATACACAAGTCAGCAACTCCCCTCCCCACAGAACCCACCCACTTGGGTAAGCAGGCGAGAGGGGCCTGCAGCAGTCCCGCCTGAGCCCCATCACCCTAAGAACAGAGCAAGTGTCGTAGCCGTCCCCCAAAAGGTCCCCAAGTTAGAGGAGGAAAAGAAAACTATGGCAGCAGCCGTGGAAGCTTGGAGCTGAAGGGAACCAAATAAATAAATAAATAAATACATAATGTTGACCTCCAGGTTAGAATGCGCATCTTTCCAAAAAAAAACAAAAAACAAAAAACAAAAAAAACCCAAAAAACAAAAAACAAAACTAAAAAAGAACAACAGGTAAAATAACTTAAAGGCAAAAATTTTTTAAAATTAGATCAACTACAATCCTTTTGTACACTATCATGCCAACTGTACACACATTTACAGTTTTTCTGTTGATTTTGCATTGTTTGTGCATTTTGTGTGTGTGAGGTCTTGGCTTTGAAACAGTGAAGTAAAAACCAAAAAGGAAGACCAGAAAAAGGGCAGGTGGCTCAGCGTTTGGCCCTGTAGCCTCTTCCATGGCACATTTCATAGGAAGGATGGGGAGAAGGGGGCGGGAGAGAAAAACAGGGAAAACCAAACCCGGGCAGATTTTTGGAGAAGCAGCAGGTAGGGTTTTGCAGAGTCCAGCAATGCTGGCTGCACACCTATGAGAAGGAGAGAGCATCTACGAGGAACTGAGGCCTAGGACACCCAGAGGAATTTCTTTCCCCCTGTCCGAGGCCCCTCCAGGGGCCTGGGGTCTGGAATGAGTTGTAAATGTTGTTCCTGTATCAAGCACTGTGCTGCTTGGTGAGAAGTGTCACTGGTACAAAAGCTCCCCCTCCCTGGAGCATCTGCCAGGAGGGGAGGACCTGCCGGAAAGGCTGCTATTTGCTGGGCCCTGGCGACAGGCTGTGGAGATGGATCTCAGCAGTTTCCTGGGGCAGGAGCACATCTTGCATCCACGGATGGTTCTGGATTTCTTCAAAGGATGGCCGATCGGATGGTCTCAGGGCTAAGCACCATCTAATGAGATGCTGACACTCTGCAGGAAACAAGAAAGGTTATGAATGACTCAGTTTGTTTTTGTGATGCAAGGGCCTTCCAAGGACCCACAAGTCTGAGGTCCAACAGAGACCACATACTTTCTAGAACTCATATTCTTTAGTGAGAATATAACATCTGGGTCCAACCGTCTGCTTTCAGCTAAAAAAAACACAGCACCCCTCTTAAATCTGTGGTTTCAAATTTCAATAGCTAGAGCCTTTCCCACGACACCCACTCACCCACCAGAAATACGAAGGAGGATGACTAGGGATTGTGATGAGACATCAGTGAGCAGGAGGTGATTCAACTCACCTACCAACTTACAAATATGAGCACCACCCACAGTGAGGTCACTGGGACCACAATATTTAGAGCCGGCCTCCACATAAGGGAGAACGCTCAGCAAGCACTCCACGTTTTCCTCCCTGGCAAACCAGCCAGGCACTGAGGGCTCAGGATGATTCTGTTGGTACTTTAAACACCCTTTCAGAGAAGCTAGTTGTCTTTTGTTACTAGTCGCGCACCTGCCCTTCCTCTGACCTCCCCAAGAATGCTCAACGGCAAACCCTCGGCTTCCTGGGGGTCAGCTCTCAAGGGGGAACTGCTGGCCTAGGACTGGAAGTCACAGGCTGGCCACCTCCTGGAGAGTGAAGCTCCCCAGAATTCAAAGCCTGTGAAAGCAATCCCCAGATTGCTTCTCTTCAACAAGGGGTTTCCCGGAAGTTACCTGAAGAGACCCTCTGCCGGAAGAAAACTTGGCCCCTGACGATCTCCTCATCGTGCTCAAAAGGAATATCTCCACAGACCATGTCATACAGCAGGATCCCCAGGGACCAGACCGCTGCCGACCTGCCGTGGTAACGATGGTAGCGGATCCACTCTGGAGGACTATACACTCGGGTCCCTGGGAGCCAGGGGAATAAGAAGGAAAACACACTTTTAGCAAAAATAAAACACAAAGCAACTGAGTGGTATCCTGAGTAACTCTTTAAAACAAAAGGCACCCAGCCCTTCCCTCGGGAGCTGGCGAACTCAATTTACCTCCCTGAGCTCAAAGGAGTGGATAAGCAGCTTATGGCATCTCTCCAACCCAAAGCATTACCCACCTCTCTACCAGCCCAGACCATAAACTGAAAGTCTTTACAAGCTGCTCCAAGAAACCAAGGGGGCTGGCTGAAGACCCAGAGCCTGAGGCCTGTAGGGGGCAGGACCACCCACAGGGGGATACAGGGATGAACGTCTGCATAATCAGGGGCGGTATCCCACAGACAAACCCTAAACTGATCTAAAGGTTGCCCAGGAGCCAGGGTGAGATTCTCAACTCAGATATGGTGTAGGTGAGGGCACTTGCACAATATCCTAAGTCAGGGTGCCCTTTGGGAGGCCTTCCTCCCGCCCTGAGAGCAGGCGGAGACACCCACGCCCTTTCCTCCCCACACTGGGAAGGTAGACAGATCTGCAGAGCTGGTTTCAGACCACGTGATTCCTGTTTACAAACTTTGGGTTGTAAAAAAAAAAAAAAAAAAAGGAGGGGCCATTCTTCTGGTGCTCACCAGGGGGCAGCAAAGACTCGAAAGAAAAAAAACATGGGAGGATCCGACCAGCCATTAACTGTTAAATACAAAAAAATGCAGCCCAGCCCAGCGTCCTCCAAGGGCAAATAAACACAAACCACAAGCCCCAGTCACAAGTTTTGAAAGGCTGTCGTTTGTTAGGCTCAGCGGCTCAGGTGACCCACCCCACTCGGCTTTGATCGCCGGCTCTCCGGCTCTCCGTTCCACCTTTTCTGAAAGAACCTGCTCCTAGCCCCTCCCTAGGATAGGTTTTCCTCCTCTTCGGAGACACCCAACTAATTTTCAAACTAGCAAGAGATCTTATTTCACAACATTCATTCCCGACGCCCTCACTGAACAACACCGAAAAAAAAATCAACAAAATGAATTATTTAGTGAAACTATTTCTGTCTCTAGCCCTTATCTGTCCCTAGATCAAAGGGGAGGAAAAAAATGCAGTCTAAAAACTACCTTACAGAAAGCTAAACTCTTCTAAAACAAAGCAAAAAAACTACAAAAACCGGCATCAATTTTCATCTCTCCCACTCTCTCCTCCCTCTTCCACCTCCCATCCTATTCCTGGCGGGGAAACTGGGTCAGACTTCAGAAATCTGGGCTACGGCCGGTTGCCCACAACCTCTTATTCATCCGAAAAGCTTGGAACCCACTGAATTCTACTTTTTAAAAAAAATAATAAAATAAAATCGTGCCAGAAACATTACAGGTTCCGCTGGCTTGAAATCCCCGGCTTTCCTACGCTGGGAAGCTCCCTTCGCCCCACCCCTGCTATCATGGAGCCAGGCTGCCCGATGACCTTTACAAAGGGCCAGAGAGGGAAGCTGGCCCGAGGCCTCCGGGCCCGGCCGAGTCACCTGGGCAGCTCCCTCACGACAGCTCCCGCCCCGGCGGCCTGGCTCACCGTCAAAGTCCGTGTAAACGGTGTCCTTGAGCAGCGCCCCCGACCCGAAGTCGATGAGCTTCAGCTCGCCGCGGTGGAGGTCGATGAGGATGTTCTCGTCCTTGATGTCGCGGTGGAGCACCCCGCAGCTGTGGCAGTGCCGCACGGCCTCCAGCACCTGCCAGAAGAAGCTGCGGGCCAGCTCCTCCTGCAGGGCCCCCCGCTCCGTGATGAAGTCGAAGAGGTCCTGCACCGGCTCCGGCCGCTCCAGGATCAGCACGAAACTGTCGGGCCTCTCGAACCAGTCCAGGAGCCGGATGACGCCCGAGAAGCCCGAGCTCACCTTCTTCAGCAGCACCACTTCCATGGGCACCCGGGTTCCATTGGGCTGCGGGCACCGGGAGGCTGCG